CCACCTTGCTGCCCCTTTACCCAGTCCACCTTGATACTTTCAGTTCCTGTTGTTTCTATAGCATTTTCTGCTTTTGCTCTGATCTTTTTTGACTATTTCTTTATCTCCTGCCCCATCCTCTTGTTCTGTAAGAAAATTTCTCAAAACTCAGTCTCCATTTTTCTTTCTCTGAACTTTTATCCATACTCATATCTGTATTTATCATCTATACAAATATGACTCCCAAATCTCTGACCTCTCCCTAGAGTTCCAATGCCACATTCACAAAACTGCCTGTTTTCTTTCTTCATCTGAACTGGGACCTTATATTCAGTATATCTACAACTGACCTTAACAATCTTGCTTCTCCCTATCTGTCCCTTCTTCTGTTCATTTCAATATTTTTTCAATAAACAGGCATTTATTTTCTCTCCCAAACAAAATAAAATCTTCATAACAAGTATTTGTAGTCAAGGAAAGCAAATTATCTTATTGGTCATGGCCAAAAACATATGTCTTATTCTGTATTTTGAGTCCATCACCTCTGTAGCAGCAGGTGAATAGCATACTTCATTTTCATTTCTTTTCAATTGTATTAATAAGAGTACTTAAGTCTTTAAATGTTGTTTTTTAAGTAATCTTGTTGTTACTGTATAAATTGACCTCTTAGTTCTCCTTCCTCCATTCTGCAGCAGTTCATGCACGTTTTTAGATTTCCCTGAAACTGCCCATTTCACCATTTCTAATAGTACCGTGATTTTCTGTTACATTTGTATGCCATAATTTGTTTAACTGCTTCCCAATTGGAGGACACATCCTTAGTTTCTAGTTTTTTTGCTATTATGAAAAGAGCTGCTGTTATATTGTTGTACATAAGGGCCTTTGCCTCTTTTTTTTTTTAATCTTTTTGGTGTTAATAGACCTAATAGTAGTATCCCTAGTTCAAAGGATATGCATAATTTACTGACTTTTGGGGCATAGTTCCAAATTGTTTCCTGGAATATCTGAACCAATTCATAGTCAGTGCATTAGTTTTCCTCTTTTCTTGTAGTCCCTTCAATAATTAAGTAATTAATCTTATGGTAATTTGATGGGTGTTACATGGAACCTCAGAGTGTCATACTAGTAACCTGTAGACTGCTTAGTCCTTAGTGAGGCTACAACCAAATTAAAATGTGTAATTGTGAAATGTTTAACAAAATAAAAATACTGTACAATATAGATAATGCTAATTTGTGGTTTTCTAAATCACTATGTGGCCTACAAGGATCTTACTTGACACCACTGCCTAAATTCAAATTTTGCTTATAGTTGTTATAGCCTAGATTTCTTCACTTGACAACTTCTCTTTATAGTTTTTGTCCATTTATTGATTGGGCAGTGGTTCTTGTTCTCATAAATTTGAATCAATCCCATGTAGATGTTGGAAATGAGATGTGTCAGAGAACTTTCTGCAAAGATTTTTTCCCTAGTTATTTGTTTTCTAACTTTAAGTGTATTGATTTTGTTTGCATAAAAACTTTTCAGTTTTCTTGGAATAGAAATTGTCTGTTTAATCTTCTGTGATATCACCTCTCCATCCCTTGTTTGGTCATGCATGAACTCTCCCCATAACCATGGATATGAAAGTTAATTTATTTTTGCTTGTCTAATTTAATTATGTCACTCGTGGCTAAGTCACGTGTTCATTTGGAGCCTTTGTGAGGCTGTACAGTGTGAGATGTTGGTCAATGACTAATTTTTGCTAGACTGCTTTCTATTTTTCACATTTTTGTTAGATAGTAAATCCTTTACGCCACTAGCTGGTGTCTTGGAGTTTGTCAAATACTATGCCACTGTTTATTTGCTTCTGTATGTTATGTATCTAATTTGTTCCAGTGATCAAGATCTTTATTTTTTTTAAGCTAGTACCAAATCATTTAGAGGATTCTGTCTTTGTGGTATAGTTCAAGATGTGGTACTATTAAGCATCTGTTCTTTCTCAATTTTTTTTTCATAATTTCTCTTGAGATTCTTGGCCTTTGTTTCATCAGATGAGTTTTGTATTTTTTTTTTCTAGCTCTATAAAGTAATTCTCTGGTAGTTTGATTCATATTGGCACTTCATAGAAGTTTAAAACCTTTCAGTCATCTTTGATTCATCCTTCTTCCTTCCCACATCCAGTCACTTGCCAAATCCTTTTAATTATGTCTTCCTTTCTCAGTACTCTGTTTTCCTTACCTAGCGATTGATCCCTTATAACAAAGAACAAAAAGTAAAAGTAAAAAAGGCAGCTTGAAACCAACCAATAAACCATATTTGGTACTATATGCAATATTTCTGTAGTTCCCCACCTGTACAAAGAAGAAAGGGAGCTGCATTTTCTTACCTATTCTCCAGGGTCAAGCTACTCAGTCATTATAATTGCACAGTGTTCAGGGCCTTTTTTAGTTCTTTCTGTTTACATTATTGTAGTCACTTTGTATAATGTTTTCGAGGTCCTGTTTAATTTCATTTCTGTCAATTCATATAAATCTTTTCATGTTTCTCTATTATTTCTTAGGTAATAGTCTATTACTTATTCATATGACATAATTTTTTTTTTAGCAATTCTTCAATTAATAGGGATCTATCTTGGGTTTTTTTGTTTTTTTGTTTTTAGGCAATTGGGGTTAAGTGACTTGTCCATGGTCACACAGCTAGTAAGTATGAAGTGTTTGGTCTGAGGTTGCATTTGAACTCAGGTCTTCCTGACTTCAGGCCCGGTGCTTTATCCACTGCACCACCTAGCTGCCCCAGATGTATGTTGTTTTAATTTCTTTGCCACCACAAAAAGGGCTGCTATGAATATTTTGCTGTATATGGGACCTTTCTTTTGTCATTAACCTCCTTGGGACACATGCGCACATGTGTGTGTGTGTGTGTGTGTGTGTGTGTGTGTGTGTGTGTGTGTGTGTATAGATATAGATATAGATATAGTTGTTTGTCCATTTTTGAAGAGGACCCATGATATCACAGATGATATCTTGACTTACATGTGAACTGGATTTAAATAAGTCTGGGTTACACAAAGTCATCAGCCTCACTCTTCCTGAGTCATTGATGTCCAGTGGCAGGGCAAAGGTCAAGATGACTGGTGATGGCCCAGGATGCAGTGGATCACCTTGGTGTCTTCAATGTCTGACCAAACTCCAAGCACTCCACAGAGTCTGCTTCAACCACCTTCGTGGCCATTGAAACAAATTGTTCTCGGCCACCCATTTGGCTGGGGGAAGCCTTCACATACTTGAAATAAACGTCCCCTAATTCACCAGCAGGTTTGAGGCCTGTTGGTTACCCTCAACCTGGTTTAGCCCATCAGCGAAGGCTGTTTTACCATCAACTTAAAAGGAATAGGAAATACTGAAGAGCAAAAAATTTTTAGTAATTTTCTTCAATGAGTAAAACTATTTTCTTCCTATTCCTTCCCTCTCCTCCCACCAAAAAAAAAAAAGAAAGAAAAACAAAACCCTTGTAATAAAGAGGCATAGTCAAACAAAACAACTTCTCGCATTTGCCAAGTCCAAAAAATATGTCTCATTCTGCACCCTGAGTGCATTACCTCTCTGTCATGCTTGATTGTTGGTTATTAAGCTCACTAGAGTTTTAAAAATGAAATTTTGATGATAATAATTAAACTTAAATTAGTAATAAATGAAACAATAATAAATTTCTATAAATATATAATAAATATAATGATATAATGATATAAATAATATATTAATAAATAAATATAAGTCTAATAACAACAAATAAAATATTATAAATATATAATAAATATATTTATAAATATAAGTTAAATTAAAAATAAAAATAAATTAAACTAAAATTTTTTAAAAAGTACGAATAATCCTGATGAACAAGATAAGGAGACACCCATGACACCAGTATGACATATAGGGAACTCACTGATCATAGAATTAAAAGAATATGTAGGGGCAGCTAGGTGGCACAGTGGATAGAGTACCAGCCCTGAAGTCAGGAGGACCTAAGTTCAAATCCCACCTTAGACTAAACATTTGACACTTAGTAGCTGTGTGACCCTGGGCAAGTCATTTAACCCCAATTGCCTTAAAAAAAAAAAAGAATATGTACAAAAAATGGAAACAAGGCTGTATGACTAAAGACAAATCCAAAGGAATAGCATAGTTCTATAAGAATGCAGGCTGCTTGTCAGGATTGTTATACAGGACTGTTATGTTTCAGGCAGGAAATTTTATTAAATGATCTTTTTAGTTTCATTTTGATATAGTAGTGGTACTTTTTTTTGTAAATTTGTGAAATGCTAAATGTTTTGTTGCTCTCACAGTTGTTAAGCGTGTTCTGGAGACTTTCTGTTACCAGGTCTGTCAACATAACCCTCTTTGCTATGATTTTTTTGGGTGGGATTTTAAGATTTAAATAGTTCAAGAAAAGACCAGCTTAATGTCTTTTCCTTAATATTGATTCCCTTCTATATGTAGGACACACTGTACTAAGTATTTCTAAAGCCAAGACCTGTAATTTTAGTACTTGTCTTTCCTAAAAGGTGATAAATATTTTGGAATAAGGAGAGGAAGAGAGAGAGAGAGAGAGAGAGAGAGAGAGAGAGAGAGAGAGAGTTTTCAGAGAGAGAGTTTTCAGTGTGTCTTTGTAAAATTAAAGACTTGCTTCATGAAAAGGAGTTTTTTTAGTTAACAACAAATAAACTACAAACTGAAAATGTCATAGAAGTTAATATTTGGTAGTTGAACAGCAGAACAGGTTATTAAAAATCTTTTAAGAATGGGATAGCTTCTTGGATAAAATTGCCTATACTGTCATTGCTTAAATTCATCTATATGATGCTGTGGGTAGCAAAAAAAAAAAAAGACTATTGAGAAAATGAAAATTGCACAGGAGACATGATGGCTGGGAGTAGTTTGACTGGAGGAGAATTTGGGGACAAAGGAAAAGAATGGCCCCCAGTAGGCCTCCTTTAAAGTTTACTCTTTTGTTGCTTATTTTGTATATTTCTTTTTCAGAAACACCATTTCATTTCACTTTGCCTAAAGAAGATGATGTTATCCCACCGTTGACCAATACAACCCCACCTTTGATTGGGCATCTTAAATTAGGTCCAAGGAGACACAGTACTCCTATTGGTGAGTGATATAAAAATGACACTCTCTGAGCTAGAAACTCTGAGGTGTTATCCTTTATAAAAAGGATATCCTTAGGACCATCTAAGGAATTGGGACTAGGTTGTATCATTTATTCTTCTTGCTTCAGGAGTAAACTTTAAAGAATATGACTGACTGCATATCTTCATGCTCTTACTCTAATCCCATTGGGGATCTGGTGACAATTTCCAGTTTCTTACATTTTGATAATTTTTTTTGGCCTTTTAGACAATATATAATTGTGTAGTAGAAGTTGACTGTGCTTGCTTTTTTCACAGAAGATAAACAGGGTGTAGAGGGGTGTCAACAACAAAAAAAATTAAACCAACACTGATGTAAGCTTCTTGAGGGCAGAAGACCTTTTGTCTTTGAATTCCCAGAGCATAGCAGAGGGCCGGGCACATAGTAAGTGCTTCATAAATGCTTTTTTCATTCAGTCAGTGATTGAATAAACAACTACTTTGTGTAGAACACTGGAGAAAAGGGAAAGTTAGAAAGAGCATCAGAAAAGGAGGGAGGGGAATTTACCATACTTCCTGAAAAGAGATAATCTAGGTTTTAGGCAGGGACTAAAGCTCATAGAATATGTTTTCTTGTGCAACACCATGTACAAATCATACTTCTGCTTGACAGGCAGGAATATTTAGGTAGTTCCCTCCTCTTCAGCAGTTCAGTAGTGTTCTACATTAATCTATTTGTTTTCTCTAGTCAGTGCTGGGAGGTAACTGTCATGCCGTCTGGAGTTTCCTGCTACCTATGCCTGATGCTGGCAGATGTGGGTTGGCTGAGGGCTCATGCAGCATCCTAAATCCAGATGTGGAAGTGGAACTGAATCCTGTTGCTCCTCTTAAGACCAGGTGTCAATTATAGCGTGTAGTTGTGGATATTTGTGACAGGATCTTTTCTAGGTACAACTACTTGGATCTTGCAAACCTGTGGAATAATAGAGGCAAACTGATGATCCAGAGGTGCTGTATTTTAATGTTTGTGCTTTAGTGTTTTTTTTTCTTCCTCCTCCTTCCTTTCTTTCAGTTGTGGATAGCTATTCAGAGAGCCCCTTAGCAACCAGTGATGTCATGGCTGAAAGTTCTGTGGGGTCCAATGATGTTACTGTTGAGAGTGAAAAAGGGGATTCCAGAGCTGTCCCAGAAGTGGATGAAAAATTGTGTCTGAGAATGAAACTGGTCAGCCCTGAGAGTGAAGCAAGTGAAGAGTCCTTGCAATTTAGTTTGGAAAGTAAGTTATCTTTTTATGTGTATTTGGGTAAGCTATAATAAGCTTGTTTGTATATAGACCCGACTGAGTAATAATCTTTGCTATTCTTAGTACTCTCTCTTTTCTTTTTAAATTTATCTCAATTTTATTGATGCTTTTTGTTTTTATATTATATTCTTTTCTTATGTATCTCTTTTCCCTGTGAATATGCCTTATAACAAAAATTTTAAAAGAAATTTTAAAAGTTCAACAAGACTAACCAACACCTTGATCATCTCTAATAGTGCAGGCATATGTCATACAAGCTCACTTTTTTCCTAAGCAGTGTGAACAATAGAAATATTGGCTAGTATAATTGAATTTCTTGGAGATGACTTTTATGTTGGGCTGAATTTTCTGATTATTGAGGCTTTGGGAATGCTGTCTATGCTGGTTGCATTTTCATGCTTTCCTTTGATTTGAGGAAGTGATATCTGGATAGTTAAGTAATAGTATGATAGAAGTACTAGACATTCTTGATTATTCAATCAAAAATTCCCTAGTTATTTGGTAGTGAACCTGGTATAATAGAATGTGAGTAAACTAGAGCCATAATGCCTAAGTGGGATGATGTGGGAGCATCATAAAATTAGTGTGGAACCTTTCAAGGAGAAAAGACAGCATTTTCTTTTGAGACCACAAGGGAATTGAAAGAGGGATGTGGAGTTCTAAGTCAAGAGTGATTCACTGAGGAACTGTAGCGAGAAAGAATAATTTAGGATCACTAAGTATGGGACTAGATAGTTTGTTTCTCATTTACCTTGTCTTACTGTCTTTGTGTAGTCTCTTTTCCTTTGTTAGGATTTTTTTTTAAATTAGAAAACATAATTTTCTGATCAGGGATGTGTGGAAATATGCAACATAGGGAAAGAGGCACTAAAGATGAGTACCTGGATAGAATGGAGGCCCCAGTTGATAGGCCTCCTTAGTTTCCAATTTGTGACTACAATAAAAAGTGCTACTAAAATTATTTTTGTACATATGACTACTTTTCTCTGTCTTTGATCCCTTTGGAGGAGTATTTGCCTAGTAGTGCTATATACTAGATCAAAGGGTATGTATAGTTTTTATCTTTTGAGTATACTTTCAAATTATTTTCCAGATTGGCTTGAAAACTTTACAGTTCCACCAACAATGCATTAATGTGCCTATTCTCCCACAGCCCTTCCAGTGATTGTCATTTTCCTTTTTTGGTCATCTTTGCCAGTCTGAAGGGTATGAAATAGAACTTCAGAGTTATTTTAACTTGCATTTTTCTTACTATTAGAGATTTCATATGATTGTTGATAGCCTGGATTTCTTTATTTGCAAGCTGCTTATTCATAGCATTTGGCCATTTATCTACTGAGAAATGAGTCTTGTTCTATGTTTGTACCAATTTTCTATATAGCTTGGATATCAGAACTTCATCAGAGAAATTTGCTGCAGAGATTTTTTTCCTAGTTAGCTTTTTATTCTGATTCTACTTGCATTGCTTTTTGTGCAAAATCTTTTCAATTTTATGTAATAAAAACTATCTATTTTACTTCATAAAAAGTAATTTCTTTTTTTCCCTGATCAGTCATTCTTTTTACTTTTTAAATTTTTTTAAATTTATTTTGAGTTATCACCAATCACTTCCATAAGCTTTTAAGTTTTAAATTTTTCTCCCCCTCCCTTCCCCCTCCCCAAGACAGTGCACAGTCTGATATAGGCTATATATATATACATTCCTATTAAACATATTTTCACATTAGTCATGTTGCAAGGAAGAATTAGAATCAATAGGAAGAACCACCAGAAAGAGCAAACAAAACAAAACAAGAAGGGGAAAAAAAGAGCAAATAGTGTGCTTCAATCTGCATTCAAACTCCATAGTTCTTTCTTTGGGTGTGGACGGCATTTTCCGTCATGAGACCTTTGGAGATGTCTTAGATCCTTGCATTGCTGAGAATAAAAAGTAATTATAAGTAAAATAATTTCTGTTGTTTGGTCAAAACTTTCCCCCCTCCCCGTAATTGTGAAAGTACCTTATACTTGCTTCTCTAATTTGCTTAATGTAACTTTTTATGTTTAGGTCCTTTACCCATTTTGAGCATATTATGGAATGTGGCTTGAAATCTTTAATTTCTCTCAGATTACTTTCCATTTTTTCTAATAGTTGTTGTAGAATATTGAGTCCTTAACTTGAGTAGATAGTGTTTTTAGGTTTATTGAACATTGTACTACTTAGACAGTGTTCAGTTTCTTTTGGATTCTAGTGCTATTTCCTCTGTGTTGTGCCCTTGAGGCACATTCCTTGAGTTGGGGGTCTGTTCACCAGGGAAGTTTATAGAAGTGAAAGGCAAAAGTTTTGAAGCCAAAGAAAAGTCTCTTTGGTCACTCACTCCAACTAACTGAACAGAGGAGTTGGTGCCTTGGGATTCCAACTGCAGTTCATTGAAATCTAAGGCCAAGGCTGGAACTTGGGCAAAATGGTCACAAGAAGAGTTGATTTGGAGTCAAAAGACTCAGGCTTGAAATCTGGCTCTGCTGTTTACTACTCTAACCACAAAATGAGGGAGACAGAATGAGATGATCTCTAAGGTCCCTTCCTGCCCCACATCTGTGATCTTTTACATCATTCAATTCAGTAAACATTTATCAAGTGCCTGATATGTGCCAGGCATTGTGCTAAATGCTAGGGATACACAAAGATGGTAAAGACAGTGTCTGCCCTCAAGGAGCTTACAATCTAACGGGGATAAAACATGCAAACAAATATATACAAAGCAAGCTATATATACAATAAATAAATAACAGAGAGAAGATACTGGAATTAAGAAGGTTAGGGAAGGACATGGAACCTTTTTGCCTTTTGCTTCTACTGTCAGAGATCATAGTCATTGGAACACAGGTTAAGGCAGACTTCATGAATGTTTATATCTTGTACATAAACAATGAAAAAAATAAAACTGGTAATTGATAAGTAATCTTCTCTGTTATCCCAACCACTTTTGAAGTTGCTCACACTTCTTTTTTTTTTTAGTTATTATTTATTTTATTTAATTTATGGAATAAAACAAGCATTTCCATAACATAGTATAATAAAAAAAGGTGATTGTAATGAAACTGCAAATCTGTTATGTAGAACTTGCTATTCCCTTTAATTATATAATAAAGTTATCATGTAAATTTTTTTCCTTTTTTTTTCCCCTTCCCTCCTCCTTCCACTTCCCCCCCCACCCAGAGATGGCTACCATTACACACGCAAATATGTATATACATGTAATATCATTCTACAACTACTTCTGTTTATCAGTTCTTTCTCTGAATACAGATAGTGTCTTCATGTGTTCTTTGTAGTTAATTTAGGTATTTATAAATGTCAAAATAACTTATTCACTCAAAGTTGTTCTTAAAACAATATTGTTGTTACTGTATACAGCATTCTCTTGGTACTGCTCATTTCATTCTTCATTATTTCATGCAAGTCTATCCATGTTTTTCTAAGATCGTTGAGCTCATCATTTCTCATGGCACAGTAGTACTCCCATCACAGTCATATACTCCAGCTGGTTTGGCCATTCCCCAGTTGTCAGGCATCCCTGCAATTTCTACGCTGGTATAAATATTTTAGAACATATAGGTTCTTTTCCTTTTTTCCCTAATCATCTTTGGAAATAGACTTAGTAGTGGTATTGCTGGGTCAAAGAGTAGGCAGTTTAATCACTCTTTGTGCATAATTCCAGATTGCTGTCCAAAATGGTTGGATCAGATTGCTGAATTGTTGAATGGTGGAAACAATTCCACCAACAATGAATTAATGTCTCAGTTTTTCTACATTTTCTCCAACATTTGTTGCTTTCCCCTTCAGTCATTTTAGCAATCTGATAGGCATAAAATAATGTCTCAAGGTCATTTTAATTTGGCATGTCTCTAATCAGTAATGATTTAGAGCATTTTTCCTATGATTGTAAATTGTTTTTATTTACTTACTATTCTTGGGGACTTCAGTTTCTATGTGGGTTATTTTTATGATATCATGACTACCTTAACAGTGGCAAGGCTTATCTCATGGAGAGGCAGAATGGAATAGCCAGGTCGTTGGACTTGGAGTCAGGAATTTAGGAAGACCTATAACTGAATGCTACCCCAGATACTAGCTGGGTGACTTTAGTTAGCTGTGTCAGGCAGTCTTACTGAGCCTTTGTTTCCTCATCTCTGCTGCTTAGTTTTGATGATCAAATGAGATTGTGAAGTGCTTTTCAAACTTTAAAACATTATATAAATGTGAAATATTAACACCTGAAAATAATATTTTAAAATACACAAAATAAAATGTATAAATTACAAAGGAAACCAATTATATTGAAATACAGTTATCTATATTTAAAATCAAATTAAAATTTAAGAATATTTAACTTTAAAAAGATTTTAAAAAAATAAACAAACCCCAGGTTAAGGACCCCTGATTTAGAGAGATATGTAGGTGACAGTTTTAGAACAATGATTTGGGGGTTAATTTTCATCATGAAATGATCCTGCTAAGCAAATTTCATATAATATTTTTGGCTGTGCCCACTTAATCCACAGAAATGGCTTAGTGAGGATGTGGATTGTTAGGAATGGGAAATACTTATATTGTTAAATCATAGTTAATGAATTTTTTTCTTTCTGTTCCTATTCTTTGTCCCTATTTCTCTCTCTTTCTGCTGCAGAGCAGGGGAAGAAAGAGTAGGAAAATAAGGAGAAGCTTTTTAGATATGACACTAACTGGATTCTTTCTCTGTTTTTCTCCCTTTCCTCCTTGTCTGTGTTTTTGTTCAGAGCCTGTAAGTGGTGAAAGGAAAAATGGATCCACTGCTGTTGCTGAATCTGTTGCCAGGTAACCAGAGCTTGTTGCTATGCAGAGCAGTCTCATACAGAGCCACTGGTAATGAAGGAAAAGATGATTTATCAATAGTAGGAAAAAATTAAGATGAAACCCAGAATAAGGGATTTGTAGGAGGAAAGATTGAATAAGTCACAGCTTTTTTCATTAATATTCTCACAAGACCAGTATTTTGTCTGCTGTTTTGACTAAAATGTTGACAAAAACAATTTTTAAAAATTTACTCCATTAATCATATTAGAATCCTCATCCTGAGCCTCTTTAGGCTTGGTGGGGCTGTAATGTGTGGCAAGAGACAGTTGGGACGTCTCATATGAGATAGTTATTGTCTTTGTCCCTTTAACCATGATATAAGATAATTTTTAGTGAGTGTCCTAGACGAGCTGCTGTTTTTTGGTGCATAATTATTATTCTTGTTGTTATTGTTAGGATCACTCTAGTTAAACTAGTGTCCGAAACAGATTTCTGTGTCGTGATGTATGATTGTGGTGGTGGTGGTGGAGTGTCTTGTTGTTGCTGTTATTGCTGTTTCTTGCTATAATGCCATGAGGGTGACTGTGTATCTAGGGTCAGGTCTGTGTAGTTGAGCTTTGCCACCTGGTGGCTCTGAGAGGGTATAGAAATCTCTCATCTGCTGCTGACTGTAATAATAAAACATTACATTCCAGTAGTGTTACTTAAAGCATGGCTGAAAGGACCCAAGTCCTTTGATATGATCCTGGTCTTACCTCTTGTTTACTAGATATTCTGCAAAAATAATTCATCTCTCTGATTTTAATATCTCTTCCTGTAAAATGAACTTAATGTTTCTGGGTGAGGTTTATATGTTACCTTTGAGTCTTCTGCTAAAGGCTCTTTATAAATCTACATTTTTACTAGTGGAGAAAAAACCATTTTTTTACTCTGTAGTTGTATTTCATTCCAGACATTGCTTATTGTTGGTCCTCATGTGCAATTGAATTTACTTCTAAGGTTAGAGGAAGCCTTAGAATGTGGGAGAAAGACACCCTGCAAAGTGAGGATGGGAGTGTAACAAAGGAAGAGATTGGAATGAAATGAAGTGATTGTTAATGATATGTGTTATTGATGAGGGTATTAATATATGTTTATCTTGTTTTAAAAACAAACACAAACAGATGAAAATATTGATCTATAGAAAATGATAGATTGTGGGAGATAGTCTATTTACAAGTAGATTTAACACAGGAGTACTTTAGCTCCTTTTTTTTTTGTTTCCTTGTTTCTTCACACAAGAGCTTTCATAAGGTTATGTTTGGAAGAATAATCACTCTGTCTTCTGCCTACATATGGAGGAGTGTTGCTATTTCTGTACATTTGTAAGATTACATAGTCTCAGTAAGAGACAAATCCTGCAGTGGGACAGAAGTATGGTGATAGTATGGAACTTAGGTATTGTTTGATTACATTATTGTTGGTGATGATTTTCCTCATGAAGATTTTCTTACGCTGCATTAAAAATGTAAGAAAGGTGCATCTTGGGTCAAGGGAGAATCATGGAAGAAGGAATGTAAAGGAAGAATTATTTACTTGCAATGCCTGAAAGATATTTCTACTACATAGCATAGTGCCTGACAGAGTAGGCACTTAATAAATGCTTGTGTTTGATTGAAAGGTGTTTCTTCTTTCCAAACAAATATGGAATTATTATTTTATTTTATCATTCTTAGTACTCAGAAGACAGTGTCTGTGTTTAGCCGTGTCTGTGAAGTTCGGCAGGATGATGAGGCCAAAGGCCATGATGTCCCATCAGATCTCATCAGGTAAGCATTATTTTCATAGTATCTTTGCTCTCATATTAAGTCAAAAATTGATTGCTGCTAGAAACTGCTATGTTCTCTGTGGTTTCTAATTTATCTTTTCACTTGAGTGTGGCATATTCAAGCCAGACTGAATTGTTTTTATTTTAAAAATGGTCTTTGAAAAAGAAGCGGCCCTTTCTCATTCTCATGGCCTTTATATCTGCATCTGTTCCCATCTTTTGTTCTGTCTTCTCCAGAAGGTAGCATCCTCAATCTTCCCCTCTCTATTGAATATTCAACCTCTCCCTATTTATTGCTTCCTTCCCTCCTGCTTTCAGACATGCTTAAATCTCCTATACCCAATAGGTGTAGCTTTCACTAGACTCTACCATCTATCAAGCTTTCATTCTATATCTGTCCTCCCTTTGTCAGTGAAATTTCTTGAAAAAGCTGTATATACTTGTTGCCTCAATTTTCTCTCCTCGCACTTTAACCCTTTGAAATCTGACTTTTGACCTCATCACTCAAATAAAACTACTGTCTTTGAAGCTACCAACAATCTCTTAGTTGACAAATCTGAAGGTCTTCTCAGTCCTTATCCTTGACCTCTGCTGCATTTGACGTTGGTGATCACCCTTTCCTGCTGGATATGATGTCCTCTGTGGGTTTTCCTGGCACCATGCTCTCCTGGTTCTCTTCCCACCTGTCTGACCACTCTTCAGTCTTCTTTCCTGGCTTATCATTTATATTATGTTTCCTAACTATGGGTATTCCCCAAGGTTCTATCCTAGGTCATTTCTTCTTTTCTTTCTGTACTTTTTCTCTTGATAACTTCATTAGCTCCCATGAGCTCATCCATATATAGATGACTGCCAGAGCTATACATGTCCAGCCCCAGTCTTTCTCCTGAGTTTCAGTCCCATGTTACCAATTGTATATTGGGTATTTCAGACTGGATGTCTCATTGATACCTCAAATTTAACATGTCCAAAACTGAACTCATTATCTTTCCCCCCTTCCAAACTTCCGTGTTTCTTTTGAAGACGCTACCATCTTTTCTGTCTCATAGGTTTCTAACTTCAGCATTATTCTAAACTTTCTTACCTTTTTTCACCTCACATCCAATCATTTGTCAGATCTTGTCATTTTTATTGCCATAACATCTCTTGAATCTGACTCCTGTCTCCTCATGCAGCTACCACCTTAATTCAGGCCCGCCTTATCTCTTGCCTAAATTATTGCAACATCCAGGCTTCTGTGACTCAAGTCTTTCTCTATTCCAGTACATCCTGCACACTGATGCTAAAGTAATTTTTCTTAAGTGCAGATCTGACTGTAATTCCTTTACTTTTTCCTAGTCTCTTGCCTCTAAGAGTAAATACAAACCCCTGTTTAGTTTTTAAAGCCCTTTACAATCTGGTCCTAATCTGTCTTTCCAGCTTCAGTGGACATCACTCCCCCTTCCTCTACTATACAGTCCACATGACATTTCAACTCCCATCTCTGTGCCTTTATATTAAACATTCTTTATACCTGGAATGTAGACCTCATCTTTGCCTCAAAGAGTCCTTCTCTTTCTTTAAGATGCAGCTCAAATACGACTTTCTGTATGAAACTTTTCCTGATCTCCCCAATTATTAATTCTCTCTTTCCCAAACCGTGTATTTAATTAATTTTTATATATTTGCATTTATTCACTTTATTTTTCTGCTTTGGTTACTTATATGTACAGGGTATCTCGAAGCTTTAATAGCTTGAAACTGCACTAAGACTTTTGAGACACCCTCTATGGTCTCCCCTTTAGAAGGTAAACTCTTTGTAAGGAGGAATTGTTTCATCCTTTGTACTGGTATCCCTGGTGCCTAATATGATGAATAGCTTCTAGTGATGCTTAATAAGTATTTGTTGGTTGTTGGTTAATAAGTCGCTGAGACAGTTTTCCAAACATTTGAATAGATATGGAACATTTGTATTGTTAATCTTGCTGTCAAAAAGCCATTTTGATATGACTCAATCTTCATAAACTTTTAATTTTTACATATAGTTGATTTAACTTACTATACCTTCAAAGATCATATACAACAACCAGCACAATGACCCAACTCATATGTATCATCATCCTATATCTCTTGGTAATATAAGTGGTAGATCATGCTTCTCAAGATTTGACAAACACTAACTCTAATTTTGTCTAGTTTACCCATATCATATTATATAATCACTACAGTGCATTTATTGTTAGTTGGAGTGTGTCTAAGTGTTAGTGAATTGTTTTCATTGACTTTGATTTGAACTTTATTTTCATCGAAAAGGATGGATATATTTATATGAGAGTTGTATTTGAACAAATCCAATAATTTTGGGCATTTATTTCATGCCTCTACCCTCCAGAGGGTCTTGTGCTCTCCCAACTAGGTAAACTCCATAGTTTGGAAAACTTTGACCTATAACTGTGTCTGAGAATTTCTGTCCTGATCACATAGCCAGTAAATAATGATTAACCTCCTCTTAGGTAAAATCAGACTCCTTTGCCTGTTGTTACTCTATCTGGCCCTTAGAATCTTTCTTGCTAGCTGTCATAGATGGTTATTATCCATCCTTGTATCTACTCTGGCTGCTAACCCCTATAAATAGACTCTTCTTGGAGGTTGCTTTTATGTCTTTTTTAAATTAAATTTTATTTTTTTCAGTTAGCAAAAATCTACCTCCTGCCTGTTTCCCCTCTCATCCTTCCCCCACTCCTTTTGAGAAAGAAATCAAAATAAAATCTGCAATAAAAACACATAGCAGAATGAAATACATTTCTACATTAGGCATGCCCAGAAGAAGAAGAAGAAGAAGAGGAAGAGAGAGAGAGAGAGAGTGTTTCATTGTGCACCCTGAGTCTTTCATCTTTTTATCAGCTTGTGGGCAGTGTGTTTCATTATTAGTCCTCTGGAATTGTGGTTGGTTATTGTATTGATCAGTATTCATAAGTCTTTCAATTGTTATCATTGTATAATGTTGTCGTTGTATAAATTGTTCTGGTTCTGTTTACATCACTTCATATAAGTCTTCTCAAGTTTCTTTGAAACCGTCCCCTTCATCATTTTTTTCTCCATCATTTCTTATAGCATAATAGTATATACTATATTTTCTTAATTACTTATAAAAATAATTTTTAACATTCATCTTTTAAAATTTTGAGTTCCAAATTCTCTCCCTCTCTCCCTCTCCACCCCCTCATTGAGGAGGCAAGCAGTTTGATATAGGTTATACATGTGCAGTCATGCAAAACATATTTCTATATTAGTCATGTCATAAAAGAAAGCAGACCAAAAGAAAAAAAGAAAAAGTTTTTTAAAAGTATGCTTCAATCTGTATTCAGACTCCATCAGTTCTTTCTCTGGAGATGGATAGCATTTTTCATCATAAGTCCTTAGGAATTGTCTTGAATCATTGTACTGCCGAGAATAGCTAAGTTATTCACAGTTGATCATTGTACAGTATTGCTGTTACCATGTTCTCCTGGTTCTGTTCATTTTTACTTTGCATCAGAAGAGATACACTGAAGAAGAGTCAAGATCTAAAACTATAAGAGGAAATTTAATAGTACCAAATACCAAGTCTTACTCTTGGGTTCAAAAAAATCAGCTTCGTAGGTCTAAGATGGAGGAAATATGGCTAGGTATCAGTTCATCTAAAAAAAATATCTAGGAGTCTGACTCTTAATCAGTACTCTTAGATATTTAAATGGATCTGTGATATCATCAGTTTGGAAGTTCCCTCACTTCAGACCTCAGCCTATCCATGTTTGCCCATCCTTTGTGTGACCTTTTACCCATGTCCTCTATGGAGTTCTGTCCAACAGACTGAAGGCCTTCCTCACTTTGTCCCTATATCTCGAGGATTACAGTGGAGCACTCTGACTCTCTACCTGTCATCTTTCATGGTTCCCACCTCTTAATTAGAGGATTCTAAGAAACTGCAATATTATTCAACAACGTGACATAGAAGCCACGAAAATTAATGGAATCTTACACTGTATTAAGAGAGATCCAGCTTCTGGAATTAAGGAGTGATAGCCCTGCTGTCCTCTGTTCCAGTTGTCAGTCCATATTTAGAATATGTGTTCAAATCTGAGTGTCATGTTTTTGGTAGGATGTTGGGAAGCTGAGAAACATTTTAGCATACTGGATAATGAGCTAGCCTTGAATCCAGGAAGAACAGGGTTTAAGTCCACTTTTGTGGACCCTGAGCAAATTACTTACTCTCTCAATGCTCTAGGCAATTTTATGAAGACTAAATTACAGAGGAGGTGCAGACTTATGTAATTTGAAGCATTTTCCTCTCCTGGCAGCTTCCTGAACCAATGAAATCATAGGAACATTCCCTACCCATATTAATAAACTGATGGGGAACCATATTGGTTGAGGAGATGGAGATGTTTACCCTGGAGAAGAAGAAATTCAAGGAGGACATGATAAACGTCTTATTTGAAGGATTCTTGCTATTAAGCTATATGGGACTTGTTCTGCTCAGCCCAGAGGGCAGAACTAGCTAGGGACAGTGGATAGTGTTGCGCAAAAAAAAAAAATGCAGATTTCAACTTGAAAAGAAAAACTACTTAATAATATGCACTATCTTAGAACATAGTATGTATGTTCCTTATTAGAGATTGTCAAGCAAAGGCTGAATGACCATTTTCCAAGTATACTATAAAGGGAATTATTTTCAGGCATGGGTTAGTCTACTTAATGATTGCTGAGAAGTGTCTTCCAACTCAGGTTCTGTGATTCCTTCTGCCTATCCACAACTAATCATTTTGCCAGTTCCTGTCAATTCTGTCTCTGTATCATCTTGCTTTCTATTTCCACTGAAGGGTCTTTGTATTGTTGCCCTGAACTATTATAATAGCCTAACTAGCTGTCCTTCCATTTTTAACTCCTTTTAGCCTGTCCTGCACAGTGATGTCAGATTAGGGCCATAGTTCTGATTGTGTCATTCTCCTATTGAAAAACCTTTTACAAATCTTAATTATT